CTGTAAAACTGTAAGCCATTTATTCGTTCACGGTATTGCAAAGGTTAGTACATGTGCGATAATAGCGTTTGTAAATTAATCGAATTCGTTGAACTGGGCGAGCCGCTCATCTCTTCTGGCCCTTGCGTCTGCCCGAGCAGATCTGCAAAAACTCGTAGGTAGATTTTAAATTTTTAACTGAACGAGGAGCGCGAAAAGCGACCTTGATCATCTTCCGGCTGCTGCGCAACACCTCAAAGGCGCACTCGAGCTGCCGGTTCACCACCATCACCGCGCCGTTGTTGTCGAACTCGCCGCAGTAGCTAGGGTTATATTGTTTTTCTAGCAATTTGAATATTACCTCGACGCCGAAAAGATGGTGACCAGCTTGCGGTCGGCGAAGAACTCGTAGCCGTCCTGCACGACTTGATGTCCTCTGAAGGTAGACTTTTTTAGATTAAAAGGGTTAGAGGACCAAACGTATAATGTTTTAACGCACCTCGCAATCAGATCAACATCCATTCGGGCGCAAAAGTCGTGGACGACATTCTCGCCGAAGACGAAGGAGACGCCACGGGTATTCTCGGCCCAGCCGTTCACCCCCGGCTCTGGGTCAGCCCAGAGGAGATCCTGTAAAAAAATGGATACTAAAAAAGGCGCCTCCCCCGATAAGAGACAAGAACCGCGAAAAAGAAAAGCTGCTCCCTACGCACCGTGTGCAGACAACGGTTCGGCGGGTCGACCGGGCGGCTAATCTAAAATCCGCCCATTTTACCGTATCCCTTGCGCGATGACGCTACGTGCAGCTGATCCCAGTTGAGCAAATCGGGCGACAACCCCCCGTGCATGCAGAAGATGCGGCCGCCGACGAGCGCGCAGAAGGGCATCGAGTTGAAGAGGGTCTAGAAATAGGAAAATTCCATGGGTATAAGGTTAAATACCTGAAAAAGATTCCCATAAACGCAGCGAGTAGCGCCGCTTGCACTCGTCGTAGAAACCGTAGACCTGCAAAAAAAATAAGTGGTTCTTTCGTATTTCCAGGGACGGATCTAATTTTTTTATATGCATTGATTTATGCCTAGTAACGTAATAGGAAGGATTTTAATAGTTTTTAGTAAAACTTAGTAATATTACAAAATATCGAATTAGAAATAAATTCTAAATAAACGCCAAAGGCCAAATCCTACTTTATTGATTGAGCGGCTCTCGTGGTTGCCCCTCAAGAAGAAGAACGAATCCGGGAACTTGATCTTGTACACCATCAATAAGCAAATCGTCTCCAGCTGCTGCTTCCCACTAAAAGAGGCATTAAAAGAATTTTAATAGTGAACCGATCGACATAGTCGCCGAGAAAGAGGTAGTTGGTGCTCTGCGGGTAGTGGCAGCGGTTGAAGACGCGCAACAGGTCCACGTATTGCCCGTGTAAGTCGCCGCAAATCTAAATGCTTCTAAGGGTACTATAAATATCTTTTTACGCTTCCTAAAATAATGAACTACATTAATAGGCGGGTCCAACTGCAGAAAGGCCGGTTGGCCCATCACAATTTTCCGACATGCCGCGATCACGACCTCGATCTCGCCCTCTCTCACGCACCGTGTCAGCGAGGCCTGGGTGACGTCGTTCACTAAAATGACCTGAAAATATCCGCCAAACGGGTGCGGATTACCGGAAAGCAGCCGATCGAGAAAGTTCAAAAAGTCGAAGCCGTCGGCCGGCGATTCCGCCTCCATGCGAGTGCGGGAGAAAACTAGGAAATCGAAGATACATTTTCTTGATGCTGTTGGCAGGAAAATTATTAATTTTGTATTCAAATACAAGATTTAATGCCGAAAACCAGTACAACTAAGAACTATATTCCTGCCGTAAATCACCTCGACCGAAGTGGGCGAAGCAGAAGCAAAGCGAGCGAGCGGTTCTTGCCTCTTAAACTATTAATTTATGTTCAAATTATCAAAATAAATTTCAAATACCAAAAAAGCTACCAATAATAAATGAATTAATTAAAGTTTCCAGAATTTATCCATCGAATAGTACGTTAATGTACGCAAAGTGCGTCCATAGTATTGCTCTGTAGTGTAATTTGTTGTAGTTCGTCTAGTAGATTCGAGAGTTTTTGATAAAGTGTCTTTTTCCTTTATAAACAAAAAAAAAGCTTTATTCCACTAAGCCAAGCACATCAACGAGTAAAATAGCTCAATTGTATACAGCAACGATCCGTGGAAAAAATAATTCCGCGGCAATCCGGGGCACAAAGTGGCCGAAAAGTCGAGAAAAGTAAGTAAAAAAAAGACTTTCCGCCACTTTAGGCTCCAGAGTCGCCGGGGAGACTATTTTGTTTGGGATTCGGGAGGTCGTAGTACCGCGTGAGTGGGTTTTGTCGCGCCGGCACGCGCTTAAATTTTACAAAAGAACCCCGGAAATCGATTTTTAAGATGATCTAAAACGCAATTATTAATTTTTAGGCTGGGCATCAATAGAGGGCAATTTTTGCGTCGGCTCCACCGCATTTTAATTTTTTTATAAGTCCGGCTTTTTGTGGGCGTTGAGGATAGAAGGCCCCGTGTTTTTTTGGGTTTTTAGATTTTTTTTCTGGAAAAACTGGGCAAATCTTGGGAATTTTTGAGGGGTTGATGTTTGGCGAAAATTGGCCCAGAAGTTGGTGTTGTTTTTTCGTGGCTTTTCGGGGCATGTTTTGAGGGTTATTGGCTTTTTATTTTATTGATTTTTTTATTTTATGAATTTTAGGATTTTTTGGCTGGATCGATTTTTTGGGTTTTTTTAGTAAGAAGATCCAGGTTTTATTGTTTTTTTACGGGAAGTTTGACCCGTTTCAAAAATATTGGGGCTTTTTAGTTGTTTTTAGAGATTTTTAGAGCCCATCTTTTTTTTGGCCAGACTGAGGGTTTTTTTAGTAAATTTTTTATTAGCTCAGTCTGGATCTTCAAATATTTTTTACTTTTAGGATTTTTTGGAATCCAAAATTTTTTAGGCTGGCTTTTTTGCGGTTGGAATGGGGGGCGAAAATTGAGTTGCCAGCTCGATTTTTTTTGGCCGGGCCGAGGATTTTTTTTAGCAAATTTATCATTAGCTCGGCCCGGGATTTTTGGGGGTTTTACGGTGTTTTTTTTTGGGTTTTTGGCATGTTTTGAAATTTTATGAGTTTTTTGTTGACTGGGTTTTTCATTGGGGGTTATGTCAATCAAGGCCCAGTGTTAATTTTTTGGGGGGCACCGAAGCGACTCGTGTTTTTCGAGGGTTTTGGGGGGTTTGGTGAGTCGATTCGGTGTTTTTCTGAAAGGCGTTTTTTGGGGACATTTTTTAGAGCCCAGGTATTTTTTGGGGGGTTTTGTTTGCCGGTGATTTTTTGGGGGACGGTGGAGCCGGGGTGGGGGGGGTAAAAGGTGTTTGCCCAGCTCGTGGGCTTGGCCTGATAGAAAATCAAAAAGGGGATAGACGAATTTTGTATAGAAAATTGGAAAAATTTGAAAATTAAAAGGTTTTCAATCGATTCCCAGGGGGTAGTTTTAACCAGAAAAAAAGCGGCCGGGCGACTCACTAGCACTGGGGGCTCTTCAACAAAGAGAGTATGTGGACTCGGGCTGTGGCAGCGGGTTTTCGCTCTTCAAAAAAAAAAGAAAAAACAGATCGGGGAAAACGAAAAAACAAGTTTTAACCAGCAAAATTAAACAAAAAAAAATCAAGTAACCTTAAGGGTATACTTAAAAAAAAGATAGATGACTAGCGTCTTTACAAAGATAGAAGGGAGAAGAGTGGTGGCTACCATACGAAACATTCCTATGTACACGGAGAGGTTTCATTACTGGAGTTCTTTTCCCACGTCCACAACACTAAAACATTTTTTTGGCCGTCTGCCAAGGCCGAGATGTCGCGCTCTTTTTCCAGAGAGTTGGCGACGCGATTTGGATATATACAGGAAAGGGCAGCGGAGCGGGCGGAACGCGCTTTTTAGCGTTTTAGAAGCGCTGGGTTATTTTTTTAATTTCCTAAAATCCAAAATAATAAAAACTTCCGCAACTTTCCAAAACACGGCCCGCCCACTCGTACAATATACAGGATTAAATGCAAGCAAAAAACCAAAAACAATAAACACGCACACAGACACAGCTTTTCTTGGCTTTCAACATTTTCGGCTCGGGAACAAAAAGATAGAGAGCTTTTTGCCATTTTAACGGGATTACGGTAGAAAAATATAAAAAATTGAATTTTAGTAGCGCGTTTCCTTTGCTTCTGCTGGGGGTTCAATTATAGAGTGGAGTAGAGGTTGGAGAAAATTGTTTAGATGTGGGGAGAGCCCTACGGTTGTCGTCAGGTGGGCGGATACGGTAGAGGATTGGAGGCCAGGAGGGGCTACGGTAGGTCCTTTTCGGGGTCCCGCCGCGCAACCCTGGCCGACCGGCAAAACTGGCCACGCGCCGCAGGATTTTCGAGGTGCTAGCAGGTTGGGTTGTTGGCTTCGCTCAAACGTACGACGGCAGGGGACTGAAAGAATTATCATTTTTCCGTGTCTCCCAGATGTTGTAGTAATGTCATTATAGCATTTTCATAGTTTATTGTAAC